ATGGCGTGTCTAACCCGTGTCCTTAACAGCACAGGGGGCTCTGTTGTATGGCGTGTCTAACCCGTGTCCTTAACATAGCTGTTTTTCTCCTCTGTGATATGTGATGTGGGAAAGGCCTTTCTGGTGGAATTAGCTATTTTCTGGGTCCTAAAGATTTAAATGCTTTCACTGTATCGGGATGTTAAGTAGCCTACCAAAATGGCCATTTGCTGGTTGTTACTCCTAGCAGGTGACTTTCAAACTTAGGATGTTTTCTAGATATACTTTGATTATTTCATTTATAGATTTCACGACCTCCAACAATAATTTCACTCAAACTATGAATGCATTGTTTTAAAGGTTTCTGAAAATACTGAAGGACATTTTTTTGCTCCTTTCCAAAGCCTTTTTCCTTTTAAAAATAAATATTAACAAAGTCATCTTCCTCAACTACACTTTGGTACTTCTGGAAGTCACAGTGCATAGCAGAACCAGTGATAAAGAGGGATAGAAAATTAATGACTGTTAATACATGTTTGTTGAACTGAAATTTGACAAATAATCTTACCTGTTTTAAGGGCTAGGGAGTAAGGTGGTTTAATATGTGGAAGAGTATCTTATGACTGAAAGAGTATATACTTTGCCATGTAAAAATTTTCATTTTCTGGCAGGAGAAATCTTCTTGACTTGGTATCAGAACAAGAAAAAATTTTATGGTTTCAGCACTAAGGCCCAGACCTTTCCATAGGTCTATGGCAGAGGTTGTGTCATCTCTTTGCAGACACTGGTGGAGTGTCTGCTGTGTGCACAGCATCAGTTTAAGCACCCGAGATAAAGATGGGTGAGCAGGGTAGACCCAATGACATGTGGTGTTGATGGAGGAGTCTCTTTCAGTGCCCTCAAGAGATACCGCTGGAGGGCTTTTTTAGGGGTGCAGTCCTGTGGCTTCACGTGGTTTTTCAAACACTAGACTAAGACTAAGCAGATAAGCACTGGCCAGGCTTGAAACAGTCTGCAGTCGTGTACACCACATGCCTTCACAAACGTGGCAGTGGGTTATTCTCAAAAGCAGACAGCTTAAATGAGTCAACTGAGAACGGTGGCCTTGCTTTTAAAGGCAGGCTGCTCAGAGACGGTTCACGCAGGGCCTGTATTGTCAGGCTACAAATAGACATGGCTGCTGGAGAGAACATGTTGTGGAAACACAGATGAGTCACTGCACGGCTGTTGTCTAAGCAGACTCTTCTGCCAGCTTCTGTGCTGAGGTCTGGTCTGCTCAGAGTCATTTACATCCAGGCGTCTATTTTAGAGCTGAAGTATGTGTATTTATACACATAGATCTGCATATATGTGTGTGTGTGTATATATATATATCTCATTAGAAACAGATGATCTTAGGAGCCCTGTATATTATTTACTATGAAACTATGTTCGAAATAAAACAGATGAGGTGATGAGGGGTCCAAGTCTAATCAAATTATAATTCCGACCTATGTGGTACATGTATCCCGCAATTGGGCACGTGCATCTCACCCGTCAGGCTGCTCTGGGAGGACTCTGGGGCTCACCGCGTGGAATTCATGAACTTGTCATGTGGGGGTAGTTACGTAGCTTGGGCTTTAGGGAGCAGTTGAACCACTTTGCCAAGAGTTGACCTTACGTTCATCTAGGGTTCAGCCCTGACTTGTGACCATTTCCCATTCTTATAGCTCAGCAATGAAGAACTAGAGGATAGCTTTCTAAAGTCTGGGAATTATGCAGCACTCTTTATTATTATTATTTTCAGATTAACATGAGGGTACAATTAGGTTGCACTGTTTCTGTTTGTTAAGGAAAGTGTGCCCCTCACCTCGTGGGCCCTGCACCCCACAGTGTGTCTGTCAGGTGAGATGTGGAGCCCTCTGACTCTGCTTTTTAATGAGTCCCACACAATGCTTTGATCTCCTTGCCATATTGTCAAGTAAAGAAAAGCTTTTCAGTCTTACTATCCTAAAAATATGTCCCTTAACAACTAAACTGTCTGTAACCGTGTGTGCCATCTCATGAGAGTCATCCCTCATCTCTGCCCCTTGGTATCTTCCAGGGATTGGTTTCAGGATGCCCTCCCCGCTGGATAACAAAATCCACAGATGCTCAGGCCCTTATATAAAATGAGGTGGTATTTGGGTGGCGCCTGTGGCTCAAAGGAGTAGGGCGCTGGCCCCATATGCCAGAGGTGGCAGGTTCAAACCCAGCCCTGTCCAAAAACTGAAAAAAATAAAACAAAACAAACAAACAAAAAAACGAGGTAGTATTTGTGTATGGCCTACACACATTCTCTTATATTCTTTAAATAATCTCTAGGTTTCTTATAATACTACAGTGTTAATGCTCTGTAAATACTTGTTGCACTGTTTTTATTTTGTGTTTTTAATTT